TTGAGATACCATCGAAGTTACAATTCCCTTGGGATTCTTGGTCATTATCTAGTTTCGATCCTCATTAAAACCTTATCTATTCCAAGAGATTTCCTTTTCTATTTTCTCGACATTGTCTAGGCCGATAGTATGTTGTTGAGGACCGAGTATCCTGAGGGCACGTCCGGTTAGTTCTATCGTATATGAGACGCATATTGAGCTAACAAATAACTTCCGGCCAGCTGGATTCCCCGGTTCCGGTCTTGAAGAGGACGAATAATTAGGAACCTCGGACCGCAAGATTTCGGCCTCCGAGCGAGATTTCGAATGGCTTACAACCGCAACAGCGTCCGTGGGGGACGTTGCGATGCGGCGATGCCGCATCACGTATGAGACGTGACCTTTTCTGGTCCTCTGTCGAGGGATACGTCTCCCGAGGGTGTTTGTTTTACCTCGTATTAATAGCAGCTAATTTGTCAGGAGGACAGCCCGATAAATTTGATCTGCCCCAAAACGACGTAGTTATACGTATGTAGGATATGCAACGACAAAATGCCTGTCAGATATATTACGTCGACGTTTTTCTTTGCAGCAAAATGCAGACTAAATATTAATTCCATTGTAACTCGAAAATGTTGATTTACAAGTATTGAAAACTTAATTTTGATCATTACGTTCTTTTTTTGAGTTCGGCTCGCTTTGTGCGGCTATTATTCCCCAAATCCGCCTGTTACCGAAGACAAACAAGATTGTCTTCCGTCGCGAATTCATAATCGGTTAAAATAGTGAGCGAGCTGAGGGACTTTTGTGATCCGGTACGGCGTAAAGTTTAAATTATGTTAAGCTTTTAATTAATACGAAAAGAGGGACGCGCTCCAGCAATATCTGAATAGAAAAAAAAAACACGGAAGGAGAACCTTTCGTCTCCTCGGTCTTCTTCTTCTTCTACTCCTCCTTCTCCTTTCATTCTTCTCGTCGGTAGAACTTTATAAACTTGAGTACCGGAGAGTTACAAGTTGGTTAACGTTGTTAAGCACTCTTTCTTTGAGATTAAAGGAACACCACGATGTTGTGTAAAAAACTGCGTCCTTTTGCAACGCTTCAAAATGATTTTGATCATCCTCAGTCAAAAGACCGGTTGCAGCACCAACATCCCTACGAGCAGGAAGTTAATAGCAGTCATCCCCTAACCCTCCTGCATATATCATCTACGAATTGGACCGATAGTCCTTCGAACCAACAAAAAATTGGTTACGTACGTATAATTTTCCATGATGGTCCCCGGGAGACGAGTCCAACTATAACCGATTCTAGTTGATATTCAGGGGGAATCGGGGACCGCACGACATCGCATTAATTTTCGTCCCGGTCCCGGTGAAATGTTTAATTCATCACAAGAGGCAAACGACTGCCGATACCGTCCCTTTCTCCCAATGTCGAAGTAGTTAGATTAAATTTATTTGAAATGCATTTGCGATAAACGCGATCAAACAACGAACGATAAATTCAAATCGAAACGTTTTCGAACCCTAATTTAGTTAACTACATAACATGTATACTTTGTACATGCATACGTGATGGTTGACACAGCAGCAATAGCGACCAAGATACCAATAATTAAGAGATAGTCAACCAGTCTAGAACAACTCCGAAAGGATTACCGAAATTCTTTAGAACTTTTCTAAAGCTTGAAAGAAAAAGTTTTTTGGGCAATTACAGAAAGAAACGTGAAACAGTTACAGATCAAGTCGATTAGAAAAGTTCTCGTTATCTTATTAAGTTAATATCGAACACTGGACAGTTAGTTAAGCAAAATATGACAGAGCTTTTATAAAGGAAGGGGGACGACAGCAAATATACTGTCTAAATTCAACATAGCGAAGGTAATTATTCGACTAATTAGCAATTTGATAGTCTAAAAGATCTAAAATCGATGCGTCGTGCCCGGTGGTGGTAGCAGAGTGGCAGGGGGCGGACATCGATGGCTTTTGTAAAGCATAAGGGTGACTGAAAGTTTAATAAGGGTCGTTGCCAAAACGCTCACTCTCGTCCCCTTTCGTAGTTAATTATGCATTCTGTTTCGGCAATAACTTTACGGACGGCGGCTCAACAATCTAACTTCGTCCAATGAACGACAGGACCGTCAACAACAAAGATACATCTATTTCTGTTTAAAATTCGGAAAGAGTATCCACGTATAAAAACAAATGCGGGGTTTAAGTTCTTGTAAGGATTCATTAGTTAAGTACCCAACTATACTAATGTATTTAAAATACACAGGGATCAAGTTTCTCTCATGTTTATCGGTGTCACATTAACTAATGAAAAGTGTAAATCAGAAGGGTGTTGATCAAGGGCGTACACATACGGATTTTTTGGTTGGGAAAAGCTGAGAACGAAAAAAAAATGTAAATTTTATGTTGGGAACTCTCCAGAAACTCTGGAAACGTACGAAAAGAATATACTGCCAATCTGCAAAACTATGTCGCCGATTTTCGTGATGGAATCTCTCCAGCATGCGCCCTTTGTGTTCGAATAACAAAAGGATTCAAGGAACTGCGATTTAAACTTTGGACGTTCGCATTTGACGTTAACTTACGTCGGTAATCCGTGCAGATAAAAAACAACTTACGACAACTGCTTCGTCAAGTACTTTTATTATAAAGAAAAATGAACAATCAATATACAGGGCGTTCTTTTATGAGCTCTATTTCAGCTGAACTCATCCACCTCTAGACTTATTTCTTATAAAATATAGAGAAAAACTAATCTGTTTTTTTGAAACGTTTTCTTCTTATAAGAACCTTTTTTTTGCTAAATTTGTGTGTTACGGAAAGGGTAAATTCTCAAGTTTTAACATGCAAGAACAAGACCAAGACGAGGACCATACCAGCAAGACCAAAACTAAGACCGAACAAGCAAGACCAACACTGGGACAGTAGGCAATGTAATCAAACCAAATTGCAGTTATACTTCGTTTACTTTCTGTAGCGATGTGACCTTCAGTTTGACCGGCGCAAAGTAGAAAAGAACAGCACTAGGCCAGAAAAGAAAGGAGACAACTCTCGGCCAAACTCTTAACCGGTGAGGAGCGTATAATCCGTACAGTACTGCACGGAAAAATTGACCATTTTATC